GCATGACACATACTTCCTTTAACTGTTGAATCATGTAAACAACAGTTATATCAACAGTTATTATGTATAGAAAATGTATACATCTACTTGTTTTTTTCACAAGGCTCCTCACATAACCTGAAGAGTAATATACAGATTTCTTTAGTTACTTAGTTTAGTTTTTCAAAATCATAGTAAATAACAACATGTCATCAAATAAAAGGGTGTTGATGGTATGTTTAGGTATGTCAAGATATACCAAAATATAAGTTTATGAATATATATGGATTTCACATTGATCATTTTAAAGGAAACAGTTGTCGTTCGCCAATAGCAGAAGCAATATTTTGTGATGAAATAAGAAAAATGGATCGTTCTGATTTTTGGGAAGTAGACAGTGCTGCACTTTTACAGTATCATGTAGGTAAGAGTCCAGAGCCTAGAGCCATGGCCATACTCAAAAATAAAGGTATCACATATTATACTCACACAGCAAGGCAGGTAATATTCTATTACTAATAGGATTTGTCATTTGTATTTATAATACAGTGTAGTTACATAATTACATGTATCTTCAGATAACAAAAGAAGATTTCTATAACTTCAATTGGATTTTTGGAATGGATAATGGGATAGTTTATGATCTTTATCAAATGCAGCCAGAAGATAGTCAAGCAAAAATTGAACTCCTTGGGAAATATGATCCGAATGGAGAATTAAATATAAGAGATCCATTATTTGTAATAATCACTATAGTTTCTTTATTATCACAAAATGTTATTATATTTAATTACGTCGTCTCACTTGTAGGATATCGATAGTGCTGGATTTGAGAAAGCATTTGAACAAGCTTTGCGAAGCATAAAAGCATTTCTAGAGCTACATACAGGTATATACAATTTAGCATTTTATATACAATTTAGTTTACTAATTTATCCAACAATTTATTTCCGCTATATTTTTTTACGAAATAATTTTCTTCATAGACCCTGTTACCGAACATTTAAAATGATCAAAACTATACTACATAAATGGCTAAACTGTGTGGTATGTTTAGGCGCATACAAAAATAAATTACCTTTATTTAACTTTACGTCCACGTACGTATACTTCAATTATATTACGATCATCTCCAGAATATATGAATTTCTGAAACCTCTCTTCTAAAGTACACTGTTGTAAATTATTTAAAAGTCCCTCAGCTATATCTGTATCCACAACAAGAGCGTCGAACTCCTTATCCACTTTAAAATTGCCAACTTGATCGTCTATCGCAAGTGCTAAAGAAGCAAATATAAAATAAAATTTGATGCAACTAATAATGATACCGTAATTAATATAAAATTTACCTGCAGCACCTCCCAAGGTAGCCATATGAAATACATCTTTGTAACTGAGTGATTCGTAATTATCCTTGATAAAAGACAAATGGTTTGACAGTTGCAAAGTAGATCTAATTGAATCTAAGATACTGTAACTTGGTCCCCCAGAAACATCTAAAATTATGTTGAAGTAAACTGTGTAAGAAAGACGAGAACGAAGATTAATTATTCATACCACTGCCAAGTCCAATCTTCAATCCGCCTCGTTTAAATCTTTGAACGTCACAGAGACCGCTCTTCAAACATGTGTTTGATAAAGGGCAATGTATAACAGCTGTATTACGTATTTTTAGTAATGCAATTTCATCATCTGATAGATATATACCATGAGCTAACACTGTCTAATAGTAAATAAAGATTTTCAAATAATTTATTCTGTATGTTTATGTATCTTTGATGTACCTTGTTTGTAAGAAGTCCAGCTGCATCATACACGGCTGTGTATGAAGAATGTTTAGGAAATTTGTTCTTTACAGCCTGTATTTCATCTAAATTTTCTGATACATGAGTCTACGATTTTAACACAATAAGCATAAATAGGATAAGTGGCAATTAATTACCGACCAGTTTACATATATTTAATATACCTGTATGCGAAGATTCTTTTCTTTTGCCAATGTGCCTAATTCTTTCATCAATGTCATGTCACAACTTAAAGCAAATCTTGGTGTGATAATAGATTTTATGAGAGGACTCTATGATAAATATAAAAAGACAAATGTGATTCTTATAAAAAATAGTTATATGACAATATGAGACTTTTTCCTTACATTTAAATTATCCAGATCCTGTATAAATTTACTGATATTTTTTATAGAATCTTCAGTACTTTCATAATAATTATCACTGCGTTTTTCATTCATACTTAGTTTACCGATAAATGCTCGTTGCCCTATACTTAAAGCCTCCTGTCCTAATATTAGAGACGCTTTTGAATAAAGCGATGCAAAATAACATGCTGTCGTTGTGCCCTGCTTTATAGTTTGCCTCTAGAATACATCAGTATATCTTCCATGAAACTCAGACGCAACATACGAAATTTTTTCATCTTATATCGCATGAAACTCACCACAACCGTATTAAATACTCGCTTAGCAAAACTTTCATCGACGTATTTTCTTTCTAAAGGAAACGTATAAGTTTCCAACCATTCTAATAATTTTTTATCATATCCGATTCCTAAATTGGGAAGTTGAACAGCATGAATGTGACAGTCAATAAATCCGGGTATCAAAAACTGACTTCCGCTAAGAACAGTTACATTTTTATTCTTAATATCGTCCGACTTCGGATTTACTATTATGTTACAGATCTACAAATCAGAAAAATTTATATTTTAAATCTAATGCGTTATGATTAAGGTGTAACGTAAAAATTGGTAAACTACCTTCCCGCTATCTGTATCTATGTATATCGCACCATGATCAATGATAATCAGTTCTCCACTTTCATTAGTGTGAATAATTGAACCAACGAATACTTTTTCGTTTGAAATCGTCAGAGACATTGTATTTAATTCTTCTGATACTTATTCAATGTTCTTGAATGTAACTAAAAGTTATAAAGAAATAATCGATTTATTTCATTTAAATAATATTCTAAGTGATAATGTATTTCTTCTTTTCTTTCATTAGCCATTTCTTACAATCAGTTATTTTTTATTTCTTCTACGTAATATAATAAGAAATTATTATTATCAAACAGTGTAGTAGAATATCGTAGCGTAGAATATCGATTTAACATAACGCGCAACAGTGGAAACAGTATTGCGAATGCTTATAAGTGTTAATTCTTTTCGATCGTAATAATTGGGAATATCCTGGACTCCGATCGGGAAGAATTAAAGATTCGTTTCTTGTCTTTACATATAATTGCAAACAATTCAATATGAGTGGAAAAAAAGAACAAAAATCTGATACTTCAAAGAAAGCAGAGAAAATGATAGACAGTCATCGAGAATTTTTAGATATGGATACTGACGAAGAAGATTTCGGGCGCCAAGGTAAGAGAATTGAACTAAAGCAGATATACGCGTAAAAGAAATATTGAAAATGACTGAATTTTAGTAAGAAAATTTCAAAAAAATCAATACTGATCAGTCATTCACAAAATAGAGACCGGTATTCTGAGTCGTTGCTTATTCTTAAGATCGTCTTAAGTATTTGCTATCCCTGTCTATCCCATGTTTCCAGTCCCTGTCTTGTACAGGAAACAAGCATTTAAACAAATGTTTAAGACGATCTTAAGAATAATGGAACTTAAACAATATTTTAAATATATCTTTTAGAATCACCTGAGGTCGAGGAGGAACTACCTGTAGAACCCGAGAAACCAGTGTTCAGTGACGATGACTTAATTATCTTAGTAAGATTATATAATATACGAGAGACATAAGCACTCATAAGAACACGTACAGTAATTTGATTTGTCAACCTTCCCACTGATTTGAAGGTGTACGGAATATTTATCACTGGTATAAAAGTTGCATTCTCTTCGCAGTACACATTTATCCACTTACTGTGAAATGATGACTGCCAGGCTTCGTGAAGTTATTTAGTATTGAACGATAAGTCATACTAGACGAGTGCAACGAGATAATTCTACATTAGAAAATATTTATATTTTCTTGATATCCAAATATATGTAGACAAAACGCGAATCACGTGTACTTGTTTTTAAATTTACTATTACAAATAATCATTTCTAGATATTAAATAACTTATTCATCATTTTAACAGAATATTTAATATATATATATTTAATAGGACTAATAGTGCTTTTAAATATGGATGTATTCAACGCATCCAAATAATTTATTGAATATTTGATTACAAAAAATATTTCAGTATTAGACGATCTAAGAATTTTTTATACTTCATCGAACTGGCGCGACTTTTTAAATCGTACGAAACACGACACGTAGGTACTATAATTTTTACTCAAACACAATTTTTTTTGTTTAAACATATTTTTAGATAAACCACGTGAAAGATTTAACGATGTATACTTGTCCAAAAGTTGGATGGAATGAACAATCCAATGATACAATTGAAGAGTATTTTAAAAATCCAACGCACACCGTGCTAAGTACTTTCTTTGAGAAAAATGAATTAAACGCTACGTTAAATATTGCAACGCACGTATCCACAGGATTTACATATTTCTTAAGATCACCATGGCAAATTTATACGCCAGAAAATTTTTTAAACACCGTTTCATTTGGGAGCATCAGTAATAATGTCAAAAGCAACATTTTGAAATTTATGGATAATATGTATGCACCAAGTATTCTCTACAGTGACGATTATGAATCATGTATCCGAAAAAAATAGCGAAAATTTGTATGCATGTAATTTTTTATTTTTTAAACAGTCTTACTTCTATCGTTTTCTATTTTTCTTCCTGGCATTTTCCATAATGAACAGTTTTAAGAAATGATATTTTCTCAAATTTACACCAATTTATTGCATTTCTAATGGAAGAGGTTTATAAACCATTGAGTCTGACTGCGTTATACGTACCAAAGGAACGTCTTCTTCACACCGTTTCGAAATTATCGAGAGAGACTATTTATTTTCTATTGGGAACAAATGAAACGGCAGTTTTGTCTGAAGAAGATGAATCTAAACGAAAATTAATAGAAAGATTAGACAGAGTAGTATGGTTCTGGATTCGACAAATTCGTAAAACAACGATAGGGTCGACAAGACAGAAAATTGAGAATATACAGGATGAAGTTGATTATTGGAAAGCAAAGCGTTAGTTTCCTAAATATCTATTCATTTTCATCTGTTTCATTTTATATCAGACTGTTAGAAAAATATCTCTTACGAAAAGTATATTTTTTATAGACTCAAACTTTAATCATTTACGAACTCAACTTCTTAATCCGGAAGTTCGATTAATCATCGATATATTGGAGAATTTGAATTCTCCGACTGCACGCAAATTAAACGAGTTAACAGCGCAAATCGATAGAGGATTAAAAGAATCGTCATCCAATGTAACATACTTGAACGTATTACGCGATTTCTGTAAAGACTTAAAAGTTCCAGAAGATGCAAAAAATTCCGTGATGGACGCGTTGCTATTAATATTACTTATCTGGACTGAATCACCGTTCTACTCTACAATGTAAGAATAACGAGTTATTAATAAACTGATAATGGATGTATATAACATTATAATTATCTCTTCAGAAGTAATATGGAAATATTATGTCAAGCATTAAGCTCACAAATAATGCATCAGTGTAAAAACTATGTTGACTTGGATGTTGCTCTTAGAAAAAACCCTGAAGTAGGAATACAGATGTTGGAAAAATGTATATTTTATTGTGATAATTATCAAACCATTTATGATAATGTATGCTCCGTGTCAGATATTTCTCATTATAATCACATTTGTTCGTTAACACCTAATTAACAGTTCATTCTAACATCATTTTTAGTTTGTAATTAATCTAATACCTCATATCAGTAATGATAAAAAATGGGAAATACGGAGACAAGAAGTTTTTAATAAAATTGATATTTTTAAACAAAGATGCCATGACGTAATTGAAATTTGCAAAGCGTTAATAGTGTTCGGAAGGTACTAAACAAAAATAGAAAAGAATGTTAAAGAAATAAATTTGTAACTCTTCTATTATTTAATAGGAATAATAAAATTGGTTTAATTGGAGGCCCAAAGGGGACCGATTACGAGGCATATTGGCGAGAAATTGAAACTTCGTTCTATGAAAGCTTAAATGAAATTATAATAGTTCGTGATGTTATATTCAACGTTACAAAATCCGTTTGGCTCAGAAAGATTAAACAATTTAGGTATACGGTTCTACAGCTAGAAAACATGGTGATAAATTTAATTAACGATATGTTCGAGAACGTATCGAATGTAGAAGAAGGTATCGAGGCGATTTATGCTCTGCAAAAATTTAAAAAAAGAAACAGTTTACAAGAAGTGTTGCATAACAAGTGGACACAGGTATTAGAGCCAAGAACATGTGTCGAGTATTAATTAAGTAATGTTGTTTCATAAAGTAATACGTTTCTCAGATATGGATAATGTTTAGCAATGACATTGAACGTTGTTATGTCGACGCGATTAAACAGTCGAAGAAAAAGACTGATATTGATGCCAGTTTATCATGTGTTTCGCAATACTTGAAGAGTCAACATTCTCTAATCACAAATGCAATAGATTGGATAGGAGAAAGTGACATGGAAAAGTAAGTAAGAGGATATGAATTATTTAAACACATTTATTGAAATCATAGGGGCTTTCTTTTTTTCAAATATTTTACTCATTTATGCCAAACATTTTTCTTTATACAACTTCTCTACGTTCGTATCTCTAAAGAGGACGTATCATGCATGACTTTAGGTGCGTGTTGCAACAATATGAACATGTATTAGATGTACTTGACAAGAGAAGAAAGATGTTTAACATTCACAATACAAACGGAACGCTATTGTAACGGAAGCTTCGAAGTATCGGAAATGGAATGAGAAACTGCAAAATAATTTTCTTAGAAAGATTCCAACAATGTCATTGCGTTATCAGAAAGGTGATATTGCTATAATTTTGGACGGGGTATTATACTTATAACGTTTCCATATTTGTCGTTTTATATCTAATTTAAAATAAATATTAGTAGGATATCGGATTTAAATATTAATGAATTTGATATAACATGGAATGCTCGATTCTTTACATGTTATTTTAATACGAAATATTATATTATTCATTATTTATATGCATATCTTCTGGATTTGTGACAGACTTATATGTAATACGATTTATATCGCTAATGTACTTTTCAGAATTACCGTTCGCGTCACTCTACCTCCCTTTGTTTAAAACGTGCTGTAGAATACATAAATCTTTTCGAAGATTTACGAATTGCGAATTCCTTCTCATCGATCACCCTGCCTTTTTTCAATAGTGTAAAAATAAGATTTGTAATATAATCGGCATAGGATGAAAGAGAAATCTCAGATGGCACTTTACACATTATGAGGTATTTGAATAGTAACTAAAGTAAATATATACTTTAGTAATTCACCACGTACAGACGAATTCACATAAGTTGTAGTAGAATTTTAAGAAATAACGTTAATCATAAAAAATTAAACATTTCAAAACTGTATGTATAATAAAACGTTCATTAATAAAAATCTTGCAATTAGTATCACATATATAATACTGTTTCTTTTTTGTGCAAGAATTTTTTCTGAAAATTCCGAATAATTTATCTGTATTTAGGCACAGCATTCATACTTTCATTTTCTAATATGCTATTAGTACCTTTCATATTCGGTGGTCCCTTACGCAACTGTAAACATGACTAAATTAAAAAATATATGTAGATGTTATAATATTGCACATGTAATATGATTAAGCTATGCCCCTGTCTGTAGTACTACATTTTCACATTCCCAAAGTTATAGTAGTGACACAGAACGTGTACTGGTACATATATTATAGTTTGTTGTATCTAACAACAACTTAACAGTCGAATAAAATATTTCAAAAATAAGGAATGAAATATAAGTAATGAGTACTTCTGGGTGTTGTTCATTGATAGCATCTGTATAGGGTAATCTATGCAATTATTTTTCTGTACTCTTAAACGTAAGAAGTGCTTAATTCATTTATAAACGTATTCTTAATAAAGATAAACTAGTTCAATGAAGAGAACATTAGACTTAAGTACTATAATGTAGCTGTACTGATAGAATCATACTAAAGAATTATATATTAATAAACTATCACCAATTATAACAACAATTACGTATAATGACTCACATAAAATGGTCAAGTCCAAGGTTCTTTATGATATACCTACCAGTGTGACAGTTTATAATCTCCAACAATAAGAAATGTATAAAAATAGATCTATCAATAAGTAAGAGTAGCACCATTTGTACGTTCATTCAGCTTGTACAGTTAACATGTAGTTGTATATTATTTCGATCAATGTTAGCGTGCAATATCCAGCATAGATTACCCTATAATATTGCTTCCACATTCTGTCTTAGGAACTATTATAAAATTTATACATAAATATTTTTTTGTACACATACATAGTACTTGTATATGTACATCCGTTTTCTTATTTTGATTATCGTAATGCTATAACCTATCTTTCTTTGCTTACGGAATTAGAACACTCTTTTGGCACAAGTAACTTAAACGATAGTATATATTTGGTTTCTTTGCCCTACCTTACCTTCAAGGTAATTTTTAATTTGATGCGATTACCAAATTTTCCTGGCCGCTGGTCACCGTAAAAATTGGACTGCCCGGTGGATCTTTGTAATCGAGTAATTCACTATCATCGCTGAATGAGCTACCCGACGAACCGACTTGTTCCAACCGCGATGGTGGCAAAAGAAATACTAATGAGATCGCTATTATCATATGCCATGCGCTGTGAACGTACTGAAAAGAACCATTCATTGTATAAATTAGAACTTTAAATATATCATAATATGTACCTGATAATTAGCTTCTGTTTCAATTAAAGAGAAGAGCAACAGGCCTATAATAGCCAACGTTAAACCTGTTAACAATTTGGAAACTTGATCAGGTTTCTTCCATTTTTTTAATTGAAAACAACGATAAGCATACGCTCCCATCTGCAAATATATTAAACGGATTAGCATTAAGTCGCAAACATTTTTTTATCCAGATTACTTACTGGTATCATAATGCCCATACCCAAAGGTACTAATATACTAGCTAAGCCCGTCTTGTTAGATTCCACTCCAAAAGCTATGATAAAAACTCCGAACATATGGCATAATGATACGAAACGAATTGGTATTTCGGCCATTGCGACGAGTGTCACCCAAAATGCTAATATGCTTGAAAAGAAATCGCTGTATTGCAAAACCTGAAATAATAGATTGTGTACGCGTTTAATTCTAAAGTAAAAGTACGAAATAATATATAAAAAACAGAAGACAATATACGTACTTCGTATTTAGCAACGCAATAAGTCATAACATGTTGATCGCAAGCATGGTACAAAGACGAAAAAAGCATAGTCGCCAAATAGACTAATCCCTCAGTATACAGCCCACGCTTAACGGCTAAATATATAGCAGGTATAAAAAAACCATTACTTAAAGTGAGTATCAGTGTTGTTACAAGAAGAGAAGATTCTGGATTGGCATTAGTAGCATCTGTACAACCCCATCCTTTATATCCTGTGTAATAACGCAGATTAACATGCGAAAAAATTACTTAATCAGTACTTAATTGTTTAACAGTAAACTGACCTTCGAAACATTTACATGCCGTATAATATAGGATATCTCGATGTATTTCTTGACAAATCCCGTGGTGACCACATGGATAATTTCCAGGAAATACACATTGCCTGGTCCGTATATCTAATGATACTAAAATTTCTTCCATTTCACATTTAACAGGATTTCTGTAATTAGTAACACAATTTGATGATTACAATTTAATTGTAGTTTCAGTGTTTTCAACGTATACGTGTAGAAAATTGCTTACCCGTTGAAATAGCACGTTGCATCTAATGTAACATACCAGGTGTCTGGTTGCGGATACGGTATTAATATATTTCCATCGCGTTTATCAGATGAAGACAAGTTCATCGACATTTCGGGATTTTTACATACAATATTACTCTTAACTCTATCTGGAACTCGCCCGCGTCTAACACAAATTAGAACTTTGACTAATTGTTTTATCACTACCTAAAAGGTACACGATGAATTATTTGTATATAGAATTATGTAAGAATTTCTTTTACTATTCCTATTATTCCTTACTTTATCCATTTCTAAATGTGCGCTTATGTCAAGTGTGCCACCAATATCTACTAACGGCAAAATATTAAATTGTGTTACAACCGGATGCACGTCAGTTAACATTACCCAAGATGTTAACCATTCTCTGCCCTACAAAATCAATTTATTGTGTGTAAAAATTTAATAATAATTTATCTTCATCGTGTATAAACAATGATGTAATACCTGCAATAAGTAAACTCCCGAAAATGTTTGCGAATGCTTTATTCTAGCAAGCTGATATCTTGGAACGCATGGATCATCAAATGTTTCGTCTGATTCATGAAACTGATTCTTCATAAGATAAACTTCACCGTAAAACGATTCGTTATTTCTGCTTTCAGTATGATGCAAGCGATGTTTTGTTAAATCTTTCATATGTAACTGAGCCAGTGCTTTGGAAAATGAAGGTGCGTCCAAATATTGTCTTACAAAAGATTTTTCCGTTATTCTTATCGGGCACTCTAAAAAATAAGGATCATTCGTAAAATCGTTATTTTAAAGAAAAAAGTTGTGTGAAGGAAATTTACCTGAAATGGTTACTTTTACATTTAGTTCAATGACACTGTCTGAGACGATCATCAAGTAGTAATAACTATCCTCATAAGGCGAAGATTCTCTAAATCTATATGAATCTTGCATAGTCAAGTTTACGGTTTCAGCAAGTTCGGAATGGTTGAAAATAGGTAATGAACGTCCTTTCAAAGCTAAGCTTTTGATACAAAGTTCCTGTACATCATGAGGTTTTTGCACAGTAAAATTGCAGCCCCAAATATCTACACGAAAATTCCACGTTCCTGATGGAATGTATATCCTACGAAAATATTGAATATATTAGTAATTTTAAATATCTATAATAAGTCAAATGCGAAAACTTTACTTGTAATAGGAAGTAGTTTCTTTTGTTCTCAAGTTATGTGTGTAACCGATAGGTACATTTTCGATACTATTTGCCTGTGTCCATATGGCTACAGAACCTATACTGTAATGGCATTTATGACCAAGTCCCTGAAATATGAAATCACAAAATTCATATAAAACGATGCAAAATCGCAAAGAAATCGTAGAATTTAAAATATACCTGTTGTTGAACCTTTTCATCCCAATAAGACAGATACGCTCCCACAAACCAGTCTCCAGCTTCTGGGCCATAAATTGGTACAACTGCAGTAGTTTTTGGTTCAAATGTTGTGACTGCAGAAATTGTAATAGTCTGATTACGCATAGGATACATATCCTTTGGGAATGTATCATTATTTACAGATATCACAGGATAACTGCCCCATTGCAGGTATCTGACAATGTCAAAAACATGTATAATATTGTATTATTATTATATCGAAGCAGAAATGTGAGAAACACGTATGTATTTACATGTGCACTTTTCTTTCTGGACAACCTTGCCCATCCATAAATGCCGCAAACTGCCAAGTAGCTCTTAGCACCTCTTTTGGAACTGTGTAATGAAACATCGCTATATCTGAATAACTTTTGAAAGAATGTAATAATCCCTCCTGGCTAGCTTCTGGCATGGTGCACTCCCTGCCTACAAGTACGAACCACTGATATTTTACATGCCATACCGTAAATTATTTAAAAGATAACGCACATATTAGTTATAAAATATATTGAAACAATTCGATTATCATTTTTTACCTGGAAAAAGCAGTACTATTAAAAGAATGTGAAATTGGAGGATCATGAGATGTCGCCTTCGAAAATAACATATCGAAGGCATGATAGTACTTCTCGACATCACAGGAAAACAAAAATTTCTCTCGATCGTATGTCTCCATTCACTTCCGATTAATTACCGGTCATTTTCGAGTTTCTGTGTCGACTGTACATTTTGCACAGACAATAAGTAACAGCGACTAGTCTGTAATGTTTCCGTGTTTAGTCTAATAATGGTTTAATGGTTTACGTTGGTTTTCTTCGATCAGCTGTAGCGGCTGACGTATATAGGTACATATGTATATGTAAATAGCTAAGGGTGGAGTAGATACAAGGGATGCTGATCTTACCGGCGGTTTTATAGGAACACGAGACACCCACTGATCTCTAGAGAACACTGGTGGATAGACCAAAGCATTAATAATAATTATAAGGAGTTCATTTCCAATGCTCATTTCAAATATGCACTTCTATTTATCGTATTAGCATTAGCAATGCGATGAATAGGACAGTATACCCAGTATCTTATATCTTATATATATCTTATCATATATATATATA